ACGTTGATATGATGAACAATATAATGTTATATGAGAGTATGACTTTAGAACGGTAACATGCGTTAATGTATTTAAAGGATGACATGAATAGAACAATGAGTAGTACGTCCAACATTTGATAATTAAATTCATCAACTCCCCTTTTAAGTCTTTTTTCCTGACTTAAAAGTAAATGCAAGAACACAATCGGCCGGAATTCAATGTATAATTCTGGTCCACTTCCATATGACTATATAGCATACACTAAGCTTTCGGGTCCCGTTTGGATCGGTTTGGGTGGCAGCCTAGATAGCCATACAATAGGTTCATCTCGGAATCTCCCATATCACTGGGGCTTCTCTTCAATTTAAATGGAGTTACTTGTTTCTTTTAAAACTATACAGTTTTAGAGACTAAGCATTAGTCTGAATAGACATCACCCGTTTGGAATTTTAAGATTCCGAACTTATCACGAGACTGTGTTTATGAATCGTTGTCAAATAGTGGTAACATTAAATCTAGGAAACAATACGCGAAATCGCGCCTGCACAGAACGGAAAATTTGGACAAGGCATTAAGTAATCCGCATGCGCAGAACGATTGATTTCAGTACTTCCGCTAAGCGCTTTAAGGCGCCAAAGACGACTGGGCCACCCGTGATCAAAGAGAATGAGTAATGTCGCAGGTAATGAAGATCTTACCTACAATAACCTTAAATTTACACTGAGGTTCTCACACCCTTCATAGAGCCAGTTCCTCCTTGGAATTCAAGTATCAACAATCTTCTGAGCAGTAAGAGATCTGAACAGACAACTAGTCAGTAGTAATTAGGGAATCATCTTGTGACATGTTTATGGCTAGTGTGTCAAGTCAGTGCTAGCAGTAGCTCGCCTGTATTCAGTTGTTTGAGCCCTCAACAGACCAATGAACCCCCCAGTATAAACTATCAATTTCCACTTTCCCCAGTTTGGCTTTAGCAAGTCTAGAAATAGACAGATACACACTTCCAAGGAAGGTTGTAATACATCAATCTATACAGATGTTCACAGTTCAACCTAGGACATTTTATACAGAATATCATCATACAATCTACACTTAATGGAAGGTTAAGATTTGTTCTTGACTGTTGATAGTAAATCACATTTCAAACTTGTGAGCAGAACCTGAGTGCCATGGGTCAATATTTCTAATTTTAAGATATTTTTGACTATATTATTACTCATCTTGCCTTGACCAGAAATGGGATAACACCTTTAAACTTTACAATTAAGGTAATCTTAATATTTTCTTTTGGCTGCGGATAGTATATCACATTTCTAGCTTTTGAGCAGAATCTGAATGCTATGGGTCAATATTTCTATTTTTAAGAAATTTTCTACTATATTATTACTCATATCACCTCGACCAGAAATGGGATAACACCTATAAAATCTACAATTATTGGAATCTTAAGATTTCTTCTTGGCTGATGATAATAAATCTCATTTCAAACCTGTGAGCAAAGCCTGAACACTATGAGTCAAGATTTCTAATTTTAAAAGATTTTTTTACTATATTATTATTCATATCACCTTGACCAGAAATGGGATAACACCTTTAAAATCTACAATTAATGAAACTTAAGATTTCTTCACTGATGATAGTATATAACATTTCAAACTTGTGAGCAAAATCCGAATGCTATGGGTCAATATTTCTAATTTTAAGAGATTGTTGACTATATTATTACTCACATCCCCTCGACCAGAAGTGGCATAAATGTAATGCTTTCAAGAATGAAAGGAATCTTGAGAGTTTTGTTTTCTGAACATTGTCATCCACATTTACAACCTTTGAGAAACATGTACTTTGACAATAAGCTTTGCATATAAAACTACACAGTTTGAAAGAAAGCTTCGTCCCCTTCACAGCTGTAATAGGCTAACTGATCATCATGGAGGGACTGACCGCACAATGTATGACATTGTGCTAGGTCTATACCTGCCTTGATAGAAACCACAGAAAAAAAGTAAAAAGTAAAGGTATAATGACTTACCTACACATTCTCGTCTTTCAAAGATAATTATCTTAGAAACTTCAGCCACTTGGCCTTCAAAAGCAATTACCAGACGACCATTTTGATCAAGTTGTGAAGGGAGGATAACTCTTACTGTTGCTTTGTCTTGCAAATATTCATGTCAATGATGACAGAGTATGAGATAACAAGTTCAGTTCTCTATTAGTAATGGGTTTATTAAATATATGTTATCTGTCTTAAGTTGGTAATTTTGAAACCTTTCTAAATATTTCAATCATATTAAATAATATCATTTAGATTCAATATGGTCTCCCCAGAAATCTGAGGACATTTTGCTGGCAAAACGGCTATGAAAGCTTCAACGTATATATGTCAATAAGCTACCAGGAATGGTTCAATGAGTTTCCCAGTTATTTTAATGCTGACCAGGAAGGAGATTTTGTCATACCGGGTATTACATATGGTATTTTTTCCTTTAAAACAATGAGAAAAAGAACAGGGTGGTAGGTGAATCAAAGGAACATTAAAGAAATTTTTTTCAACAAGAGAAATCTTTTTCAACAATTTCTACTCTAATATTTCTATATGTAATTATTTTCTTTTATTTTTTAAGTTAGACTTCTCAGATGAAGCACAAACTCTCTCACATCCTGCATCTGCTATGCGTGGAAGCAGTTTCATACACCTCCACCATTAATATAAAAAATAGTTCCTTTTATCATCATGTACACAATAATCAAATGGAGTGATTTTGAATAATTGTTACCACTAAAATCTAACATGATAATGATAGTAATATTTACAAAAAATGACTTTGGGACTTGAGAATACAAACAAAAACACACGCATCAGTTGCCAGAGGGCTGTGAGGTGTTGGTGCTTAGAAATCCCTTGAATAGTACAAATTTAACTGTACCCCTTTCAACTCTGACATGTTGAGTAGTCATTGTTTGATGTTAAATGACACACTTAGTTATATTCAAAATACTTAATATTATTATATTGATGTACATACCCTCCCAAATATATTTTGTGAACATCATCGCCTATTGTACAATGTCATGAGTATTTATTCCTAGATATTTACCTGCTGTGTTACTGTGTATGAGAAGAAATATGTCCAACTCTCATAACTCTTGAAAAATAGCATAACACAAACATCCTAGGAACTTGAATTATTACACTTGTATCCCCACCAATGAGTGGCAAAACATCTTTAAAATACATAAATTAGAGAATAATTTTATTTTCATTTGGCTTTTGCTATTTTGTAGGAAAACACTGTGTTCAGAAGTGGCCAAGATAGCTATTTAACAGAAAACTTACTCTGTTATTAAACATGTCTACACCTCACCAAGGTTATGATGTGATAGACAATTAAATAATACATTTGGGAGTGATATCATGGTTAGAAATTAAACATGGCAATGGGCAGTAATTACAGATAATAAGCAACACGACCATTTTTATAGGAATTGCATTTTTTCATGAGCGATCTGCATAAAACTATATATATATTTAAAATTATAAGAACCACAAGTGTAGCATTTTGGTACTGGTGATTGCTGTTGCAGGATATTTTCACGTATGGAACAATTTGACCAGTCATCCTAGGGACTTCCCGTGCTACATGTATTTCGATTGCGAAAACGTTATGTTGGCATATATTAGCCAAATTGCCACAAATATGACTTTTGACGAGTGAAAGTAGGGCCTTTTTTTCATATATGTATCCATTCTCTAGCAACTAAAATTCGTTTCAATGCGTCAAAAGCGGTAATCTGACCGTGGTTGCTGTATCTCTTCACACACGATTTCACCTAACTTAATGAAAACAATATTAAATGAAATTTTGAGTAAAATTAATAAAATATATTACCAACACAAGTCAAGATATATAATGAACACGTTTTAATAACAAGATAGTATAATAATGGTATTGAATTGCGTTCTTCAGCTCGGACTTGCTGACTTGTATTTCCATTGTTATGTGCTTGCGGGGATCAGCTGATAATGTTTAATGAGATGGGGAAAAACATCTGTCGGTGTAAAACCTGAGCTTATTTAAAATGTAAGTACGTTTTTGGGAGCCATGTGTTACCGCGCGCTATAACAAAGTTAGCGGTTTATTGAAAGGCACAATAGCGAGGAAACGCTGTACTTGAGATTTGCGTTCCGTATCGTGGCGTATCGATAAATGGGCCCACGTTTATCGTATATCGTATCGTGGGTCAAGTATCGCGATGCATCAGAATATCGGTGTATCGTTTCACTCTTAATTATTACACTTGTATCCCCACCAATGAGTGGCATAACATCTTTAAAATACATAAATTAGAGAATAATTTTATTTTCATTTGGCTTTTGCTATTTTGTAGGAAAACACTGTGTTCAGAAGTGGCCAAGATAGCTATTTAACAGAAAATTTACTCTGTTATTAAACATGGCACCACCTCACAAAGGTTATGATATGATAGACAATTAAATAATACATTTGGGAGTGATATCATGGTTAGAAATTAAACATGGCAATTGTGAGTAATTACAGATAATAAGCAACACGACCATTTTTATAGGAATTGCACTTTTTCATTAGCGATCTGAATAAAAAGAAGCATTTGTATTCCGCTTTAGTTCCGCATTACCACTTTTATACGCTGCTATATTTAGCTGCAAATGTCGGATATCGAGTCAGTAGCATTACCATTGGCGCACTTTGCAGAACGGAGTAAAAATACAAAACAGAAGAAGTGCAGATGATTTTGCTCTTATTAAATGTTTGTGAATTAAACACATAGTTGCATGCCAGAGATATAATTCTCTACGGTGTTTATCCCAGTTCTGGTCGTATCCCAGTTCTGGTCGCTACACACGTCTCGTCCTGCTTTCTGTTCGGACTAACTTTCGTTCCGGTCCGTTGAATATTTAGATATTGTTACGACGCACGTTTGCAGGTTGTTTGAAAGACTGTTAAGTAGGTCAGACTGCTTATTTTGTGCTTGCTGGTGGAGCAGTCTGGTTGTGTGCATTTGGAGGAGCTGCACTTATAGAGAAAACGCCTTTGAATGTAAGTGTATACGAATGTGTGTTCATGCACGTGTTGATAGACAGGGAACTGTTCACCTGAAAAAACAACACGGAATCATATAAGCAAAATAGAGAATTGGATCGGACATAATTTTGGTCCGGGTTGCTTCAAATTTGGAAATGTCCTCTTTATGTTTACCATAGAACTTTGTGGAAGCCTTACCAAGGCATTGACTGTTATCATGATCAAACGACTTTTGAGCAAGAGTTGTATGGCGCTCTTTAAAATCTTCGTACAAGAGCATGCTTTACCTCAATGGAGATTCTTGAGGTTCTTGAACAACAGTCGAGATAAAGGGAAAATTGACTTTTGGAAAGATAAAGTCATCCATCTTGTCATACAGTCTTGTGGGGAGGGGAGTTTTCGTCACTCCTTACAATGATAAATATGATGCAGATGTGACAGCTAGAACGCCGAGGTTCAAGAAAACTATTGACTTTTTATTGACTATTTATGTTAAAAACACGTCCCATTTTAATTCTGGAAACCCAATAGTCCAGAAACTCTACAACACGTCCCATTTTAATTCTGGAAACCCATAAGTCCAGAAACTCTACGGTCTTTGCCCAGTCTCGGTTAAAGGTATTTACAAAACATGCTGGTTTCATGGGAACATACCAAGGAAGAAAAAAAAAAATTGTTCAAAAACTCAATATTTACACTGGGCGAAGACTGGCCCATGGGCAGGCCCATGGGCGAGAATATGTTCCTTTACTCAAAACTCATGTTTTTGTTTCGCAAATACATTAAATGTATTTATTCAAGTATCATGACACAAAATTTAACTCCTTTTAACTTAATTCAACGATTTTATAGCGATATTGAAATATTTCGCCCATGGGCGAGAAAAAGGTAGAAATGTTCCTTTACTCAAAACTCATGTTTTTGTTTCGCAAATACATTAAATGTATTTATTCGAGTATCATGACACAAAATTTAACTCCTTTTAACTTAATTCAACGATTTTATAGCGATATTGAAATATTTCGCCCATGGGCGAGAAAAAGGTAGTAAAGTTCCTTTACTCAAAACTCATGTTTTTGTTTCGCAAATACATTAAATGTATTTATTCAAGTATCATGACACAAAATTTAACTCCTTTTAACTTAATTCAACGATTTTATAGCGATATTGAAATATTTCGCCCATGGGCGAGAAAAAGATAGAAATGTTCCTTTACTCAAAACTCATGTTTTTGTTTCGCGAATACATTAAATGTATTTATTCGAGTATCATGACACAAAATTTAACTCCTTTTAACTTAATTCAACGATTTTATAGCGATATTGAAATATTTCGCCCATGGGCGAGAAAAAGGTAGAAAAGTTCCTTTACTCAAAACTCATGTTTTTGTTTCGCAAATACATTAAATGTATTTATTCAAGTATCATGACACAAAATTTAACTCCTTTTAACTTAATTCAACGATTTTATAGCGATATTGAAATATTTCGCCCATGGGCGAGAAAAAGGTAGAAATGTTCCTTTACTCAAAACTCATGTTTTTGTTTCGCAAATACATTAAATGTATTTATTCAAGTATCATGACACAAAATTTAACTCCTTTTAACTTAATTCAACGATTTTATAGCGATATTGAAATATTTCGCCCATGGGCGAGAAAAAGGTAGAAAAGTTCCTTTACTCAAAACTCATGTTTTTGTTTCGCAAATACATTAAATGTATTTATTCAAGTATCATGACACAAAATTTAACTCCTTTTAACTTAATTCAACGATTTTATAGCGATATTGAAATATTTCGCCCATGGGCGAGAAAAAGGTAGAAATGTTCCTTTACTCAAAACTCAAGTTTTTGTTTCGCAAATACATTAAATGTATTTATTCAAGTATCATGACACACAATTTAACTCCTTTTAACTTAATTCAACGATTTTATAGCGAAATTGAAATATTTCGCCCATGGGCGAGAATATTTTCCTTTACTCAAACCGTATGTTTTTGTTTCGCAAATACATGCAGGTGTTCTAACCATTTTCATGGCACATGATGTAACTCAATTTTACTTAATTCAGCTATTTTATAGCGTTATTGAAATATTTCGCCCATGGGCGAGAATATTTCCCTTTGCTCAAAACTTGTGTTTTAGTGTCGCATATATATAAAGGTGTTCTTAGAAGTTTCATGTCACATAATTTAACAAATTTAAACTCAATTCAACTATTTTACGGCGTTATTGAAATATTTCGATACATCACACTGGGCAATTACGTGACACTAGGTATGCAATATACAGGTACGCGTGCACGTATTTTAATGGAAAAACTATTCGTCTTTTAATGCATAAAGTTTGGCTGAATATCTTACATTCTAACTAACGAAATAATTATTTAATTACATGCGGTGTCCGTAGGAGTAAATTAACACCTTCAGCGCTTTCCGCGGAAGGCGCCCTATGAATATTCATGAGCCTATTGTTATGCTGATAGACATGCATGACGTCACAATGAGAACGGAGTCATTATGCATGCATGTTAAGAATGTCAAGAATGCGGCCTTTGTTAAGAATGTCAAGAATGCGGCCTTTGTTAAAATGTCATAGTTGAGGAATTCTTTAGGAATGCCAGCTATGTGGAATTCTTTAGGAATGCCAGCTATGTGGAATTTAGTCGGGGTAGAATCCTTCAGATTTATACTAGAATGATCCTCATCAAATGGAATGTCATCCCTTTCGTAAAGAAATTTGGAATTCTTTAGGAATGCCAGCTATGTGGAATGTAGTCGGGGTCGATACTTTCAGATGTATACTAGAATCATCGTCATCAAACGGAATGTCACCCTATCGTGAAACAATAGCTACTCATTAATAAGTAGAATGTCGTCATCGAGACGAAGAGGAGAATGTACGAGTTCATTCACCATTTGATCATCACAGTCGACTGCGAGGAAATATATTTTTTTGTCTAACAAAATACAGACGGACCTTTCATTTTTGGATGGAAAAAAGCTGATTCAACCAATACCATCAATCATGTTCACTAAAATAAATGAATAAAAAATAGTAGAGTTTTATAAAATATTTCTCTATTTTATTCACGCCGTGATATATTTCGTTGTAAAAAGTCAGTCTTATTCTTATTTTCAATCTTAATTTTCAACTTTGTGATATATTTCGTTGTAAAAAGTCAGTCTTATTCTTATTTTCAATCTTAATTTCCAACTTTGTGATATATTTCGTTGTAAAAAGTCAGTCTTATTCTTTTTTTCAATCTTAATTTCCAACTCTGAAAGATTTCCTGTTTAGAGATAATACGTTAGTATGTACTCTGAAAATAATGTTTACCTCATCCGACATCTGTATGAATAAAAAATAGTATAGTTTTATTAAAAAAATCTCTACTTTAAAGTCGTAGTAAAAAACTAGTATATGGTCAGAACAAAGCCCAAAACCTCCCGTTGTGGTAATAGGAATGTCTGGAATGTGGGGAAGGGTATGGCACGTCTGGTCTATTATGGAATGTTTGGAATGTTGTAGAATGTCTGGAATCGTATGGTACGTCTGCTCTGTTATGGACTATTGAGAATGAGTATTGGCATGTCTGGAATGTTGTAGAATGTTAGAATCGTATGGTACGTCTGCTCTGTTATGCTCGGAATATTGAGAATTGGTATGGAACGTCTGAAATGTTATAACACGTCTGATCTTTTATGGAATGTCTGCAATGTTCTAACGCACCTGATTTATTATAGAATGTCGCAAATATGTACCCCCAGTTTCATTACACAGATATATTCAACAAAAGCTTTGTACGTTAATTTCCAACTCTGTGATATATTTCGTTGTAAAATGTCAGCCTTATTCTTATTCTTATTTTCAATCTTAATTTCCAACTCTGAAAGATTTCCTTCACTCATATCGTACCCTAAGTTTCCCATCTAAACCCTAAATCCGACCATACACGTTCTTCTTAATTTATATCCGGTTCACATCACATATTATTCACCGAACATGTGATAAATGAATGTAAGTATGTTGTAAAAGCTAGGTTGAAATGAAACACCCCCAGTTCTTTTTAAGGATACATGAACAGTTTCCAAATCCTATTGAAATTCACGAAACACATATCTTCCGTGTAGCATGTATGGGCTTTAAGAATTTTTACCCACCTCAACCCTACGCTGTGATATACCACCGTACATGGTCTTATAGAAATTGCGGGCCTTCGTCTCAAGCAGTTACATGTAACACCTGTTCCAAAAGTTTCAATCGTAAAGACAATTTAGATTCGCATACGAAAACGTACCATTTACATGACAGAGATAATTTGACGTGTCAATTTCTGTCATACCTTTCTTCCGAACTATCCCACCTATAGAAGTCATGTTTCTCACAATCATTGTGGTTCAAACAGTACTCAATCTGCAAGTACTAGCTCTGCTTCTACCAATTAAACGTTTAATTGTAGAACGTGTTCCAAATCTTTTCCTTCCACGAAAGCTCTCACGTCGCACTTAAAACGAAACCATCTGTCTTCTCAAACTGGTCGTGGGGCAGACTCGGCAGCCAAACGCCGGAGACCCAACGAGGCTTTGCAGGGGTGCTATTCTCGACAAGCATAAGGAGGCCGGGCTAGGGAATATGATTTCATTCCTCATGGTAGGGAAGGCCACGATCCATATTTCAGTTTATTGAAAATTCAACCCATTGTTATTCAACATTTAGAATCTGAATTGGCGCAAAAACGAGCCATCAAATGGGGCTTATGCGTCAATTTTAAACTGAGTAAGACTGGACCAACAGGCGAGAAAACTTATATCACGCCTTATTTCAGAACTAGAATGGAACCGACTACTGTAGCCGACGATTTAGACACGCAATTCTTATCATACACGAATAAAATCATGAGAGATTTAGACAATTTTGAAGGGGATAGTTCCAATTTAAACTTTGAAGAGGTCATCAGTGTGAAATTATCCGTTGTGAAATTTCAACCTTTTCGCGGCTCTTCCTACATTCCCCTTCCCAGTCAGCTGCAATGGAAACGTTCTCTGTTGAATATTAAAAACACAGAGGACGAGAAATGTTTTCTGTATTGTGTACTGGCTCACCTGCTCCCTGTTGGGTCAGAGCATGTGCGAGAACAAGTGCATTTTTTCACGGCACATGAGTCTAAACTTCACGTCAAGGGCTTTAACTTTCCCATGCCGTTGAACGATATCGGTCGTTTTGAACCAGAACTAGGATAAACACAATAGAGAATTATATCTGTCACATGCAACTATCTGTTTAATTGTCAAACATTTAATAAGAGCAAAATCATCTGCACTTCTTGTGTTTTTTATTTTTACTCCGTTCTGCAAAGTGTGCCAATTGCAGTGCTACTGACTCGATAACCGTCATTTGTAGCTAAATATAGCATCGCATAAAAGTGGTCATGCGTAACTAAAACGGAATACAATTTCTTCTTTTTATACAGATCGCTAATGAAACAATGCAATTCCTATAAAAAAAGGTCGTGTTGCTTATTATCTGTAATTATTACACATTGTCATGTTTTATTTCTAACCATGATATTACTCCCAAATGTATTATTTGATTGTCTATCATATCATAACCTTCGTGAGATGGTGACATGTTTAATAATAGAGTAAAGTTTTTTGTTGAATAGCTATCTTGGCCACTTCTGAACACAGTGTTTTCCTATGAAATAGCAAAAGCCAAATGAAAATATAAATTATTCTCTAATTTATATATTTTAAAGATGTTATGCCACTTCTTGGTGGGGATATAAGTGTAATAATACAAGTTCCTAGGATGTTTGTGTTATGCTATTTTTGAAGATTATTTTAATTATTCTTCTCATACACAGAAACATAGGAGGAAAATATCTAGGCGTATACACTCATGACATTGTACAATAGGCGATGATGTTCACACTATATATGCAGGAGGGTATGTACAGTAATATAATTATATTATTATTTTGAATATTACTGAGTGTGTCATTAAACATCAAACAGAGAATATGATACACAACAGAGTTAAAAGGGGTACAATTACATTTGTACGATTCAAGGGATTTATAAACCCCAATGCCTCACAGCCATCTGGCAACTGATGCGTGTATTTTTGTTTGTATTCTCAAGTCCAAAAGTCATTTTTTGTGCGTAAATATGATTATTTCTATAATGCAAGAATCTTGTGGTAACAATTATTCAAAATCACTCCATTTGATTATTATTTTTTATTATTATGATGATAAAAGCAACTATTTTTTTTATTAATTTTGGAGGTGCATGTAACTGCTTCAAGGCATAGCAGATGCGGAATGTTAACGATGAAACTCATTGGACCATTCCTGGTAGCTTATTGACATATATACATTGCAGCTTTCATAACCATTTTGCCAGCAAAATGTCCTCATATATATGGAGAGACCATTAAATATTTTATGGTCTCTGATACATATGGAATCTAAATAATATCATTTAATATGATTGAAATAATTAGAAAGGTTTCAAAATTACCAACTTAAGGCAAATAACATATATTTCATAAAACCATCACTAATGGAGAATTGAACTTGTTATCTCATGCTCTGTCATCATTGGCATTACAATTTGCAAGACAAAGCAACAGTAAGAGTTATCCTCCCTTCACAACTGTAATAACCCGCAATTTCTCTGATGCCTAACTAAAGCTCGTTTGGAGCTGTATACCTTTTGACAAAACACACAGGTATAAACAGGGGTGGTAAAAGGGGACGACATGATGAAGTGCAATAACAACCAGATAAGAAACCTACAAAATTGTCTAGTTGCTGAAACAGACAAACGTAAATATCAAGGACAAGAAAACGAGGGAGATCGTATGTTACAAAACGTCGTGAACAGTAGACAGTGTTTCACGATTTACATAATTTTCTTTGATTACAATTTCATATTACTAATACCATGACAATGTTTCTTAAATTTGAGAGAAACTAAGATAAATAAACGTGATTTACTGTATCGTTTACGCCTGAATGTAAACTGAGAGTTTTGTTTTTCCTGTCTATTTTCATAGGTCTTATCAGTAGCAGTGCCCACATGCGCATGTGTTACGAGCCGAGATCATTTCGCCTAAAGCTGAACTTCTTGTGAAATACTATGGGTTCGCGCGCTCTTTTAACACTTGAAACGTTTGATGCGTGTCATTTAAATGCATTATAATATCGTTGGATGAAAAGGGTTAACCTCACGATCATTTGCTACCAACGAGACAAGCCTGCGTGGTTGACTGGTCAACACTTCAGTCTAGAGAGAACTTAAGAATTCCTGATAAACTATTCAAAGTGACATTCCACTTCGCTCAGCCACTCAACATGAAGAGAAAGATGGAAGTTTGGATCAACTATCCAGTGCGACATTCCAATCCATTTAATGAATACCATTTTCAAAATGATAAAACTTTTTTTCGACACGGGTGACCCACATCGTCTCCCAAAGTGGCAGCCTGTATCAGCCTCAATCAGTACAAAGGGTGTCCCGCCCATTCATACAGCCGGATATCGGATGAGGTAAACATTATTTTCAGAGTACATACTAACGTATTATCTCTAAACAGGGTACTGTAACTAAAACAAGGGTTATCATAAGGTATGTGTGTGTGTGTGTGTGTGTGTGTGTGTGTGTGTGTGTGTGTGTGTGTGTGTGTGTGTGTGTGTGTGTGTGTGTGTGTGTGTGTGTGTGTGTGTGTGTTTGGGGGGCGGTTATTACTATAAGACCATTTACGGTGGTATATCACAGCGTAGGGTTGAGGTGGGTAAAAATTCTTAAAGCCCATACATGCTACACGGAAGATATGTGTTTCGTGAATTTCAATAGGATTGGAAAACACTATCGGTGAGATAACGTGTTATAACATTTCAGACGTTCCATACCCATTCTCAACATTCCGAGCATAACAGAGCAGACGTACCATACGATTCTAACATTCTACAACATTCCAGACATGCCAATACTCATTCTCAATAGTCCATAACAGAGCAGACGTACCATACGATTCTAGGCTTTCTACAACATTCCAAACATTCCATAATAGACCAGACGTGCCATACTATTCCCCACATTCCAGACATTCCTATTACCACAACGGGAGGTTTTGGGCTTTGTTCTGACCATATACTAGTTTTTTTACTACTACTTTAAAGTAGAGATTTTTTCAATAAAACTATACTATTTTTTATTCATACAGATGTCGGATGAGGTAAACATTATTTTCAGAGTACATACTAACGTATTATCTCTAAACAGGAAATCTTTCAGAGTTGGAAATTAAGAGTGAAAATAAGAATAAGACTGACTTTTTACAACGAAATATATCACAGAGTTGAAAATTAAGATTGAAAATAAGAATAAGACTGACTTTTTACGACGAAATATATCACAGAGTTGAAAATTAAGATTGAAAATAAGAATAAGACTGACTTTTGCAACGAAATATATCACAGAGTTGGAAATTAAGATTGAAAACAAGAATAAGACTGACTTTTTACAATGAAATATATCACGGCGTGAACTATACTACTTTTTATTCATTTATTTTAGTGAACATGATTGATGGTATTGGTTGAATTAGCTCTTTTCCATCCAAAAGTGAAAGGTCCGTCTGTATTTTGTTAGACAAAAAAATATATTTCCTAGCAGTCGACTGTGATGATCAAATGGTGAATGAACTCGTACATTCTCCTCTTCGTCTTGATGACGACATTCTACTTATTTATGAGTAGCTATATCAAGAGATCGAGGACTGTTTCACGATTCAGATATACAACCGGTATAAAACTGAGAACTGAGATGCCAAGTACAACCTGCATTCACACACGGGAGCAATATACTTGTGTGTATGCCCTCTCCTCTGAAAAATGTATCACAAAAGTATTTGCATTGTAATAAATATAGTTTATAGTTTAGATAAAACTTGGTAATTTGGTAGGTCTCCGACAGATATGATTTTCAGTTTTTTTACACCTTTGATTGATACGGATTACGTACATGTAGTCTAGTCACTGTCTCTAATGTATCTGCTTGTTAGAAATTTCAAATGTCCTGTTATAGCACTGTTCCTAATATAAGGCAGTTTCTTTTATCGGGTATAAATAGTTGATTCGTCTTGTCACGCAGTCATTTTTACTTGATCGAATGATTTCCACAAAAAATTCCGGCAGAGAGTTTTGTATTTTATTATATACTTGTATTGTTATTTGTAGAAGATGCTTACATCACTGTATCTCAGAACGCAAAACTGATAACATTCAAACATGTAATTAGTACACAGTTAATTGTTACATATAATTTCCTTCATATTCCTTTTTGAACAAAAAGCCTACATGTATACTGAAATCGGTGTCAACTGTTAAAAGACTATTAGTGCAGTTAGCCATGGTAAATGGAGAGACAATAATAAGGTGATTAATTATACTCTGTTGCAGAATATGCGGTATAAGTGTAGTCATTTATACATATACACATTATACATATACAGATGAAATACACGATATGATACAGTGCAAGAACAAATTAAGATACGGGTAATATTAAAAATAATTATACGATTATGAATTTAATTAGCATGTTTAAATTTTCAGGCCAACACGGTTGAGATACAGCATCGGCATACTCAACTGGAGTTGTTTTCTGCAGGTCGTAAGTTCATTGTTTGACTGAGCACACTTGTGTCGGGGTTGCGATATTTTCTTCTCTTTGTTGGCATTCTGCCACCGGCCTGAATTTTGAGAAAGGTCTCAGCATGGGACTGTTAATTTCTTCTTAATGATGTCTACAAGCTTACAAACTTGTAGATGTTGGGGCGGTTAGGACCAAACTTGTTCAGCTCAGAGTGTTAGTGGCCCTGGAACCCATAGTGTCAAACAGGTTCTGCACAATACGTCCATCAGATTCTACTGTTCAGCAACATTGTCACTGAAGCTGTCAATCCCTTATAACAACGGTAACAACAACCAGGGTGAGGACACAGTAAGGTTAAACCGTGTCCAACAGACAATCTCAGGTGGCTAACGCCATATCTCCCATCAAGTCAGCTCTGTTTTTAAGCGCATAATTATGTTTTTACATATTGAGATAAAAGGAATTAAAAAAATCATATTTAACAAACCTACACATTACCAAATACAAAACTTTATAACCCTTTCTAGACTTCGTTCCAATTAACCTGGATCATTCAACACGCTCGCGAAGGTCGTTACGACTTTAAAATGAATACGTCTAAAGTGTACAAGTAAATTTTAACTGTATCATATATACTCATGATAAGCAATTATTTTCGTTCCTAATTCGAATGAGCACATTCTGACGCTAAATCTGCAAAAGGACAGACAAAATATTTTTTGTACAATGCAAACGATACAAACGTAGCGGCTGATAATAGAGACAATGATTTAATAATCTGCAATATATCATTTGTTCTCGTTCAATCTATTGTACAAATTGAAGTGATTATAAAGTTTCAAGGAGTACTAAAATGTTGTGGTATTATGAATGTATTTAGAATATGAATAGCGAAAAACAGTCACCATATCGGATGTACATGTATAACTTGTCTTCCAACACCACGCTTGTGCCGAGGCCCACGGACATAAAACTAATGGGTCCCATAAAAGGAGCAAATAGTTTCGCAGATACTACTTGCTATGGTTCACTCGGAATTGTCAGACGACATAATCATCAGTCAGACCAGTCAAGTGTGACCAGCGTGCCTGCCTGGTTTTACCTCCTCATTACTGAGCTGCCCAATACTGTCATACTGTGGGCAGTGTAAGCGGCTCTAACTCGTTGAGTGTTACAGATTAACCAGATTATGATTGTGTTTGTAAGTTGCGTTTAATCTGTGTCGGGTTGCAGTTGTTTTATAAGGCAAGATCAGGGGTAATTTTTTCAATGAAACCTTTTAGCCGTTGAGTTTGTTTTACATTCATTTCATTAAATACATTGTTAGGTAGAATAATAACACGTTATATAGATTAAACATCTCCCTAACCTGAGTATAATCTCACATGTACTCTAAGTACCGTACTATATTACTTTGCGGAGACACTGAGTATAATTTTTGAGTTGGCATTGCATGCTGTCTGAATGACTTCACACAAATCCCTGCGTCAATGGACCCGTGAAGATCTTCAACAACCCATTCTTGGCGTAAATGGGCGACAGCGCTTGTCGTAAGAGGCGACTACCGGGATCGGGTGGTCAGGCTCGCTGACTTGGTTGATGCATGTCATCGTATCCCAATTGCGTGGATCGATGCACATGATGTCAATCACTGGATTGTCTGGTCCAGACTCGATTATTCACAGAGGGCCGTCATACAGCTGAAATATTGCTAAGTGCGGCGTTATACAACTAACAAACAAACAAAACTTTAAAAATTTGAGGAATTCACAACAATCACTATGACGAGGTATGCATATCTTGCAATCAACCTGAATCCAGTTACTGGAATGTCAAACCCGGGCTTGGTTAAAACAAGAATTGCAGTTAGATCCGCTATATGCTGTAGATCTCCTGTAGTCAAGAGATGCAATAGCGAGGCAGAACTATGTAAATTTATGAGGGACAGACAACTACTCGAACATATATAAACATAGCAGCCAAAGATAAAAACGAAATCATATCATGTACGAAAAAAGAAATCATATCAACACAAAAAGAGAAAGTGTATGAGTACTAAAACTTGCAATAGATATGCGTACCCTACGTACACACATGAGTCCCATTCGACAGTCTACAACACACGAATAACTGTCAAACAAGTTTGGGTACCCCTTCTGTTCAGGCAAGTTATTTAGTTCAATAATTTTGTATTAATATCCTTTTCAATTTGTTTTCACCATTTTCCCTAATCCATGCATGTTTATGTTGCTACATCTTATTGCTCATGTTTCCAAGTAGTGTAAAACACTTTAATGTTTCTCCTTCTTAATCTAACGTTATAACATTTCAGGTCATTACCATCATCTAATACACAAGAGATGATACCAAGACATATTTTATTCGGTTTTATGGTCTATGCGGTCTTACAATTGATTTTATTAGTCTTTAAACCTTATGTCTAGTAAATATTTTCACAAACAGGGCTGTTAGCTGATACAAGGAATGTAACATCCAGTTGAGGACTGAATACGACGTACGTTAGTCTGTTAACGACGTATCTACAATTAATATTTTGAATAAGCCGATAATACGCCAGTTGTGACAGGGATGATGGTATGGTAGCTGTTGCAGACAGATTGACAGCCGTTGTTACGTGAGTCACTAGGTTATTAGTACGGCATTGGCCTTGTTGATTGTTACTATACTTTGAGGATTTCTGTGGCCAGTGGCGGACGTAATTCAAACTCCTTCCACACTGACATCGCACCAAATATATTTGTGTACCGATGACATAACTCTTACTGACAGGGTAGGGTGGTAGTTCACGCGAAACGGACGACACTGTGTAAATTGAGCGGCTCCTTTGATATCGCCTCACAACATACTTTTAATGAATGACCCATTAAACGATGATACACATCAGGATCGCGGAGAAAACACAAGATTCGTTCTCGTTGAATATATATATCAAGGCACTAATTCATCTTTCATAAACTTTTTGTGTCGTTGTGCTTAATATATCCACATATCAACGAAAATAAGTAATACATGTATCCACAAAAAAATATACATGTACAGGCTAGGTATTTGCCCACAGCAACACATGCATAACTGTTTATTCACGCGTGATGTGGCAGATTGTAATTGACCGAGAGCAAGTATTGTAGAATCACCTGTAAATAAGGCCGACACTGTCATTAGACAAAACGTACTAATGAGAATATGAGAATTATCATAAGAAGGCTGTTGCGTTTTTCTTAACTATTACCATTTTCATACCAAAAGTGACAATGCAGTTTAAAGGTGCTTTAGTGTCACAATATTCACTCACGTTTTCCTCAATCGCATTGAAACATAATTGCCACTGGTCAGTTCGACACCGCATGTAATTAAATAAATATTTCGAGATTTCGTTAGAATGTAAGATATTCAGCCAAACGTTATGCAATAAAATACGTATAGTTTTTTTCCATTAAAATACGCGCACGCGTACCTGTATATTGCATACCTAGTGTCACGTAATTGCCCAGTGTGATGTATCAACGGGACATAAAATGGGAAATGAAATAGAAACTAACTAAACTTTAATGTTGTGGAAAATAACTCCAATGAATTTGAGTACACGCACATGAAATCGTATGATAAACTGTCAAAACGTTTTGAGAGGTAAGGCCGGGTTCATTAAAGATCGCTATAATATGTAAAACAGGTGAAATTTGTAGAACTTCTATAAAGGAAACATCCAACCAAATGCCCTTTTTGAATAGTAATGTAATGATATAATATAAAGTATATTTCACATGATACAGTACACTTTGCACACAGTTAGTTGATGCTTTAAAGGGACTGACGAAAACATGGGAGAAATATTTTAATAACGCCGTAAAATAGTTGAATCATGTGTCATGCTTGTAGATACACCTTTATGTATTTGCGAAACTAAAACTGTTCAGCAAAGGAAAATATTCCCGCCCATGGGCCAATCTTTCTCGTCCAGAGCGAAATATTTCAATAACGCCGTAAAATAGTTGAATTAAGTTAAAATTTGTTAAATTATGCGACACTAAAACACTAAGAAATCTTTTTCAACAAGAGAAATCTTTTTAAACAAATTCTGCTCTAATATTTCTATATGTAATTATTTTCTTTTATTTTTTAAATTAGACTTCTAAGATGAAGCACAAACTCTCTCACTTCATGCATCTGCTATGCGTGGAAGCAGTTACATGCACCTCCACCATTAATATAAAAAATAGTTGCTTTTATCATCATGTACACAATAATCAAATTGAGTGATTTTGAATAATTGTTACCACTAAAATCTAACATGATAATGATAGTAATATTACAAAAAATGACTTTGGGACTTGAGAATACAAACAAAAACACACGCATCAGTTGCCAGAGGGCTGTGAGGTGTTGGGGCTTAGAAATCCCTTGAATAGTACAAATTTAACTTACCCCTTTCAACTCTGACATGTTGAGTAGTCATCGTTTGATGTTAAATGACACACTTAGTTATATTCAAAATACTTAATATTATTATATTGATGTAGATACCCTCCCAAATATATTTTGTGAACATCATCGCCTATTGTACAATGTCATGAGTATTTATTCCTAGATATTTACCTGCTGTGTTACTGTGTATGAAAAGAAATATGTCCAACTCTCATAACTCTTGAAAAATAGCATAACACAAACATCCTAGGAACTTGAATTATTACACTTATATCCCCACCAATGAGTGGCATAACATCTTTAAAATACATAAATTAGAGAATAATTTTATTTTCATTTGGCTTTTGCTATTTTGTAGGAAAACACTGTGTTCAGAAGTTGCCAAGATAGCTATTTAACAGAAAATTTACTCTGTTATTAAACATGGCACCACCTCACAAAGGTTATGATATGATAGACAATTAAATAATACATTTGGGAGTGATATCATGGTTAGAAATTAAACATGGCAATGGGCAGTAATTACAGATAATAAGCAACACGACCATTTTTATAGGAATTGCACTTTTTCATGA